AAGGCGCTTTGCTTCATCGACTGCAGTGGTTCTCAGCATTTCACACACAGCTTTTCAAATGTATTATCCCAACCTCATATTGAAATGCCTCTGAAAGATTATGTACAGATCCGAGGGGAGATACACATACAAGCAATCAAAGGGGCCTGAGATCCCGTCATAACAGGCAGTGTAGACAAAGAGTTGGCTCAGGACTTCATTCAGTGGTGAAGAAGGACTAGATCCACTTAGAAAATGGAAATGAATCCACTTGGGAAATGTCAAGATTTTTCTGGAAAGGAGTCAAGGTTGCATACTTTAACCTCTCACAAGAGGGATCTCTCTTAGCTCACAACTGGAAGAAATGGGAACATATCTGAATTGTAAAGACCACCCTGGAATCTTATGGGCCAATTTAATCACAACACCCGACACAGGGTTCTCCAGACCTAAATGTTCAGAAGCAGAGCTCCTTGGGATTATTTTAACATAGTGCTCAAAACCTCAGCGTTGCTTCAAGAAGGAAAAAATCTCTAAGAGAATATAATTTTAAATCGCATGTTCAGGGCGCCTGGGTGGCTCAGTTGGTTAAGCGACTGCCTTCGGCTCAGGTCATGATCCTGGAGTCCCAGGATCGAGTCCCACATCGGGCTTCCTGCTCAGCGGGGAGCCTGCTTCTCCCTCTGACCCTCTTCCCTCTCGTGCTCTCTATCTCTCATTCTCTCTCTCAAATAAATAAATAAAATCTTAAAAAAAAAAAATCGCATGTTCAGAAAAGGGCCTTTTGGATGTATATTCCTTGGGGCTAACTCACTTGTTTTGGAGAAAAGTGATACACACTCATTTAATTTTTTTAAACAATTTTACTTTTTATTTATAAAGCAGGTTCGTTTCCTCTACATACTACTTTGACCCATGTACTTTCAGACACGTTAAACTATTTAAGCAGTTTAAACAAAACAAACGACAGGATAACTACGATGGGGAAAAAAGAACTCTCCTGGTGATGACTGCAGCGTCTGGCTTCCTAACTTGACTAATAAAACTTTTTCTGGGGTTCTGTCAAATCCACATCTACAGTCACCTGATCAGATGCTTTGGGGCCAAACGTATGGTTTTACTGATTCTTGTTTAACTTAAGAATCAAGATTTTTGATAAGTAATTCTAACGGCAATTATAAAGTAATACATTGCAATATTATGCTGTACAATAAAACTTACTTGAATGTGATTAAAGTCCAATATTGAGTAGTTCTCCACAATTAAAGGTAATAATTTCATCCACTCAAGTCCCCTCTGTTAAGCACACACATTGACATATATTTGTTCCTTGTCTTGTTAAATAAATACAGAAACCAAATTAGAAGGAGTTCTGCAGATTTCTGAGAATTTAACTATATCATTAAATTGCAATACCAATGATCTATATAGTTAGACTTCTGTCCTGAGTAATTACCTGCATTAACTTCATTTTATAATGCTTAATTTACTTAAGGAAGATTTTAAACTACTTAACAGAAATCAGCATAATTTCGATTTTTCACTTGCTCCACCGTGTTTCAATTCATTAGTGTTTCAATAACAAGGAATGAACTCTATCGTCTTAACAAAACGAGCATGGAAATCTCCTCATAAGAGAAAAGAAGAAATTGAAATGATTTCCATATTCAAGTCATGGAACACCGAAGAGAGGATTTTTGGCTCTTAGGAGAGGCATCTGTTACCTCAAAAAGAAGGCCACTCACTAAAATTCTGTGGAAATAGGACAGTGGGGCCTGCCAAGAAGGAATTTAAGGAAACTGGGAATGGCAGCACTGTGATCCCAGGCCGACTCTTGGGTGTAGAGGTTTCCTTCCCTTAGGTGCTTTGCCCTTACCAAGCTCTTGCTAAAATCAAAGACCATGCGATGCGAAACAATTCATGCTAAAATCCAAACATGACACCAGAAGCAAACAATTAACTGGGATCCCACTGTTATCCCTAAGACATATATTGAGATAAGAAATAAGCTATATTCTCCATAAATAAAACTACAGAGGTTTTAATGATTCTTGCTTTTTATAAAATGAAATACATTTTCTTACTTCTTTAACATAAATAAACGAAAAAGCTATAGCACTCACTCCTCTCTCCCCAAATGGTTGCTCCTTTGCATTTCACAATTTACATGCATATCTGGACAACAGTTAACCTCCAGTGGCAAAGAAAAAAAAAAAGTGTAAGAAAAATCACACTGACTGTTCTCAGAGATTTGTTTATAGACATTAAACAACAACAACAAAAACACAACACTCAACATCAATCTATTAAGTCATCTGAAAGCACATGGATGTGACTTAGAAGGCATGACACTGAGATAGGGAGCTCAAAGTTGTAACATTAACAGAATTGGACCCACATTTCTTCCAAGCATCAGAATTACAGGGACTTGAATATAAATTGAGTTTGGGTTATTAAGTGGTTGAAGAATTTGTTCTTTTTGTCTAAGAATATTGACAGGCTCTCAGATTTTCAGATGCGGAATTAATAAGATTATTAAGAATGTCAACACACATACCACTCCCAGTCGTGGAGAACTCTGTATTTCCCAGCTAATAAGCAACAATAAAACCTGGCAGCCATTTTCCCCTCTGTACTTTCAAACATCCAAAGAATCACACAACCTCTCAAGTACTAAGAGATCCAGGGGTGTTTCAGACATGTGGGAGAAAATGCTTAAAGGCAAAATTCCTCAGACACAGGCCACAGTGCAGAAACAGAGAGCTCTTCGCTCCGTTAATCCTGTCACAATCCCACGTACATGTGCGCTGTGAGAAAGACCCTATCAACCTACAACCAAACGTGCTATTTCCCCTTTGAGGTCACAGTAATTGTTATTTCCACAAATACACCAAACTCTAAAGCCAAGGCTGTTCTTGAGAGAAAATCATTAAATCACAAGGATTGGCTTTACCCACTGTGCAGGCCCCGGTTAATAAACGAAATAAAAACTTTTCAATTAAAAGCTTTTCTCTGGCGCCTCCATTCCAAACATCTCCTTCTAGTGCTGGGTTAACAGCTAGTGTTCTGAAATGGTTGTCTTTTTTATTTGAGATTCCGTTCCAGGGAGCTTATTGTTTTTTGGCCGATCACCTGGGTTATTCTTTGGGCCCCTCTCTGTTTAAACTGTTCCAAGAATTCTGTTCAAGAATATTCAGTGACACACTTTGCCCCTGACATCGGTGAAGAGCACACCTAGAACAGCTGTCACTCCAAGAGAGGGGGCCCACAGTGGAGCATTTCCGTTCTGTGCAGTCTACCCCCAAATGGATGAATACAATCTGCTCGACTGTGGTTAGTATTCTGTTGGGCTCCCTCTTCTCCTACAGAATGCTTTGACTGGAATCAGCTAAGAGCAGGGAAAAGCCTGCGGGAAGAGGAAAGGTCACCGGTGGGCAGGCCATGTTCCTGATGGGGGTGGTGAGGCTGGGACCACAAGAAGGGACAGGTGTCCAGGCAGTGTGGGGAACATCAAAGGAATAGCATCTACGTTCATGGCCAAGGGTAGTGACCAACACTGAACTTCAAGACCCAAAATGGTGTCAGGGAGTATGGTTGCCTCTTAAGGAGTCCTACGCTTCAAGTGGGAAGGAAGTCAGAGGCAAGTATAGAACGAGCTAGAGAAACAAAACCACAATTAGTTTTAAGCATTCTGAACCACCTACACTGTGTCTGTTTCCATATTCTTTTATTTCATTGGGCCTTTTCTGGGTTATTTTTCTGCTAACTCCAACACTCCGGGAATATACTTGATTTTCCTTGTTACTAGGGAGGTGCTACTTCAAAGGACCACACAACGTTGAACAGAAAAAAAAAAGATGTATTTGATGGGTGGCCTTTGAATATGGTTTTTCCCCTATTTTAGAATGAAATTGGGTTAAGAAAATCTTTAGTAGGTGTCCATCCAAAATAAGTCATTGCAATGATTCACTCTGTGACATTTCAGCAAGCCCACTGGAGACATTAGTGGGTGATACTGCAAATGGAAGGCTCCTGTTTTGAAATTCAAACTGTTTGTGACACCTTCCAACTGGGAAACTGGAAACTCTGGCCACTGAGTTCCCCTTGGGTTCTAATCTTTCCTGAACCTAACCAAAATCTTAGAGGTGGGGGCAAGGGCAGGGACAGGGACATGCCTGGGCTATAAAGGAGAACAAGCCTCTCCCTCTACTGTCTTCCTCTAATGCTGAGCCAAATTACCCATAAACTTCTAGCACTTCTTAGGGTAAGTAACAGTTTTGTGGGTGCTGTGGCCACCATGCTGTAGAGAAACCAGGAACAGAGCAGCTCAGATGCCGAACCCAGGTGTTTTACAAGTCTGAGGGGGCACGAGGGGGTGCCTGTCCACATGTGGGCCTCAGGCAGATGAGCTGGAGGCCATGGGAGTCAGGCTGGAGGAAACAAACACTAGGGAGTCTCCAATTAGTCCAGTGGTTCTCAAACTTGAGCATGTTTCAGAATCGCCCAGAGTTTCTCATTCAGTAGATCTGGGGTGGGGCCCAAGGTCTGCATTTCTAACACATTTTCAGATGGTGATGCTGGGCCCAGAACCAGATATTGAGGACCACTAGCCTGTTCCTTCACTTCTGCCCAACTCAGGGTGAGGAACAGGAGGAGAAATTGTACCCCTAGATACAGCACTGTCTTCATGTGCCCCATTGTATGGTCTGCCCAGTGATGAGTCACAAAGGCACATGACTGGTTTCTTCATGCAGTTCGTTCAAGAATGGGGTCAACCTTGACAAGGTGAATGGCTCTGAAGACAGAAAAGTATGATGAGAAAGTAGCAATGTTGTCAGAAAAAGCACATAGCCTCTTGCAGATGAATGCGTTAAAAATTAACCCTCACACGGAGCTCTACTTTCTATACAAAATAATCACTCTAATTCCTTTAACATCAGGACAGCTAAACACACCGCTCTCTTTCCGCACCTTCAGCCATTATATACCTAACTACAAGTTTGCAATCCCCGTTAAGTAAGTTAGTGGCCTCTTTCGTACTTCTTTCTTTTCTTGGTTGGGCTGCTCCGGATTGCAGATAATAATCTTTCAGTGTTTGTGGCTGAGCCGATTTGCTGTGCCTGCCCTGGCTGATTTTTTGTAAGATGTCCGGAGGAGAGATTTTCCAAAACATGCAACTCTTCATTAGATGCCGTTTTTGCCAAACCTTGTTTCAAAAGTAACCCCGGATCTGACAGCTCTGAGGTTGGCAAAACCCTGACAGCTGTGCTTTTTTCCACTATTATTTCTTTTGGGACTAATCGATCACTTCCAAGAGAAACTCTCTTGTGGTGGTCGACGTCTTCTGCAGAGCCCCGGTTCCTGCGTTTCTGTTGTGTTCTGGCCCCTTGTGGACTTTGTTTTGGACCTGGTGATGCTGACTCACAGCTACAGACAGGGCTCCTGCCTAGAAGCCCTGTCTCTAACCACTCCCCGAAATGAGGTTTTTGCTGGCTGCTAGTGTCTTCTGGCTGGGTCTGATGAACATTTTCCAGCTTTTGAACAGGAAGCCCCCAGTGGCTCTTGGCTGCCTTTATGTAATCTTCTGCTTGTCCTGTGGACTCTGATGGGGGACTGGTTGAAGCCCAACTGTCACCCCTCCTCCTCGTTATCTCCGCCATCACTGGGTCAGTAGAAGTTCCCACAATGTCCCTGCTGCTCCATGATTTGCTCACAACGCTGCCTTTTGTTTCAGTTCTTTTTGCACTAAAACAAAGAAAGATTTTGTTTTGTTTCGTTTTGTAAAGCTGTAATGGCATGCTGCCCTCCAATTCCTATACCCCTTGTCACGTTTCCTAGACCTCAAAAAGGAGGCACGTGCTACCTTTCCTTCTCCCTTACCTCCCTGGCAAATCTAGAAAAATCCCTTAGTGTTATGTTTAAATTCAGACTGGATCAAGCGATAGCCATCACAATTTCCAACACACAAGGATTAGTTATTAAGATACACAAGGACAGGCTTTGTTTCTTGATCACTGGGTTTGCAATGTAGTTATATTGGAGTTATGACGGATCTATTTTAACTAAGGCAGGCAGGTGTTCATTTCAGATGTGAAGGGTCAACATTGCCTAAATTTGATATATTGTTTTTATTATTGCAGAAGTAAATGATCAGATACATCCAAAGCACAGGCCGTGCATGTGCGCGCATGTGTGTATGAGCACGTGTGCACACAAGGATGTGCTTATACACACATACACACACCTTTTCTATAGCACATATAAGAGGCAATGCAAACTTCAGTCTAATTGTAAAATTCACTTTGAGGGGCAGGGCAGGAGCGGCATGGGGAGAATTGAGAGACTGGAGACTTTAACTTCAACACCAATTTGCAGGCTTGTGAATAACAAGAAATTTCTTAAACCACCAAACTCAAAACACTGAAGCTGAAATATTTACTTTGGCTAAGTTTTAGTCTGGAAACACACACACACACACACACACACACACACACCTTCTTATTGTTCCTAATCAGAGGCATGAGGATTATCATAATTATTAGAATCGGAACCTGCATTTTAGCAAAGGAATGTATTTTTTTAGATGGGTCTGTAGTCACTTGGAAAGTTGTATAAAACACACCACCAAACAGGTGCTTTTCATCTTCAAAGCGCTTGTAATTAATTACTCCTTGCAACACACCTGTGAAGCAAGGACTCGCTCCCCACTGTCCAGAACGCAAGAAACAGTCAGGAAGGCAGAAGGGTAAGCATGGGACTTAGGGTAAGGTCAGTGCCAGAGGGGGTTTTGTGATTAATTTCCATGAACTCCTGTTGAGTTCCAGACTTCATGTCACATATCCACACACACACAATCAAAAAGAAGGAAAAGAAAACTTGTCGGACCTACATTTCTTTCCGAGCGTTTCTCTTGCGCTTTGCACTGGGAGGAAGTGAACTCTCTGCACACTCAGCAAAATAATCAGACGCTCCGTGGAGAGCTCCTTCCGTCTACTCCAAAAGATAACAAAGGTTCAACTAGAAATCTATTAGCTGAACATGAGAAAAAACAGTTCTGCTCTGAATGCCCCAGTGAACGGATTTTTGTGAAGACTAGATGAAACCACTTAGTGTTAAGCTATTTTAATTTTTTTAAATCTAGAACTTTTCGGTAAATGTCACTTTTTTTGGACTCCCACCCAACGCAGTTCATACGTTAATCTGCACCACAGACATACAAGACTGTAAGAGAAAGGATGTTGGTTCCAAACCATCTGGGAACTCTTGGCCAATATCTGCTAACTTTGTGGCCCCAAGTGTGTTGAAGCCCAGAATCACGGTGCCAGGCAGCAGCATGTGTATGAGCTCTGATCCTCCAGAGAGACCTGGTGGCACTGTGGTCTGTACCCTGATTAGCCTAAGAATTCCACACATTTTCTCTATTTACAAAAATACAGAACACGGCCTTTGCAAAACTCAAGGCTACATAAGTGAGTTAAGCCTTTGAATACCGGTACTTTGAAAACTGAAGTTTGTGATTCTTGGCTACCAGAAAACTGGGAGTTTTTTCTTACCTAACAGCACTACCACAGTTTTTACATAATTCAAAGATTATCTGTGTATCTATCGTTATATGTTCCCAAGGAAGCTTCATACAGAAGTACTCATAAAATGTCAAAAACTCCCAATCTTTGCCAACATTGACCTATTTCATAGTTTTGGAATCATTTCCTTTTTGTTAAGGAGATAATCCAGACAAGGTGTTAACTCTTCTCATTTCCTGGGACAGTAATGCCCTTCTCCACCAAATTCCACAGTAAAATGTTGAGGCCATGAGGAACAATTTTGGGAAATTATCAGTAGGTCCCTTGCTTTAGACTTACATTGGAATTTAACAATGGCAGTCCCAGAATGCCTGGTAGACAGCAGCCGTGAGTATGATGCCTGGGTGCCCCACAGGCCGGTGCTCTGACCTTTGTGCAATCACTACCCTGCAGCCCCGAGTATGAGTCTTTAGTTCCCGCTAATCCCGCCTATGGTTTCAGACCTGGATCAATGTCACTCATAGTCATATCCAGTTATAACCTAAGTCAGTTTTAAGAGTCAGTGAACAGGATATTGTAGGTTTTATTGGATTATACTGCATTTTGATGCTTCTCCCTTTTTCCCCATAAGACTTACTAGTCGACTAAATAGAGCTACAGTTTTAAAGTTAAGTAAGAGAGAGAGAGAGAGAGATGGAGGGGAGGGGGAAGGAAGGGGGAGAGAGAGAGAGGGGTACAGGGAGAGAGGGAGAAATGAGAGAGAGAGAGAGAGAGAGAGAGACTGAGATTTATGTGTGAAACACTTCTAAACATGCCCTATAAGTACAGTAGATTTTCCCCTTACGACCACACCCTGTAAGTGCTGTATTTTCAGAGCTGAACAATTAACATAAGGAGCATGAGTCAGGCTTTGAACAACTCTGTGGGAACCAGAAAGCCTTTTGCTATTAGGAATGATGTAAATTCCCCAAGGCTTGAAGAAGTCCACAATGGAAGGCAGACAGGGTCATAAATAACAACAATGGATACTGCGTACACCACATAAAGTATGATGCCGCGATAGTGACACTCTTCAAATTTCATACTAGATCCAATCTCTGCCTTTATTTATTTATTTTTTAAACTCAGTTTAAAGAGCACTATGTATTTCCTATGGGAACTTCAAAAACTTCTTTAAGAAACGTGACAACTGACTCTCATCCCAAATTCCCCTGATCACAAACAATGGGGGAAAATGTCCTTGGAAGAAAAAGGACAACAGAAAACGTGATGGAGTGACATAAGGAAATGTCCAGTTCAAAAAGGGCAAAACCTGTGACTTTGGTTTAAAAAAGAGAGAAAAAGAAAAGAAAATGGCAAGGCAGGGTCTCCTGCTTACAAATTAAAAACACATTTGGCAATTTGTTGAAGGAGGCATATTTACATTTGTATGAAGACTGGGTGGGCAGGAAAACAAAAAAAAAAGCTTAGATTCCTTCTTCAGTCCTTGAACTGTCAGATCTCATTAGAAATCTCTCATTCTTATTTTTCTAGGGTCAAGTCATTCCCCTTTGTCACTAAATCGCAGCCTCCAGAGCCCCCCAAAGAAATATTCCAGAGGAAGCAGTGATCCTCTGGAACAGGGACTGGGAACAGGATTTCCCAGGGGAGTTGTCCTGATTACTAATGGCTTCTCGCATCTGGCACCAAAATGTAATCTGTGGCTTATCCAGAGGCAAAACTCTAAGGTACAGACTGTGCATGCTCGGAAGTGCTTCTTGGGTTTACCTAAATGACACTACTCCTTTTTAGATTCTGCCTTGAATAATGACCCAGACATCTTCTGCAAAGAATACACACAAACTCAATATATTAAAAAAGGTTACAAGTTGGCCATCCAAAGTCCAGAGTGCACACTCCACGGGGACTCAGTTATTTAAGAAAGAGGTTAACCAAGGGGCGCCTGGGTGGCTCAGTCAGTTAAGCATCTGACTCTTGATTTTGGCTCAGGTCGTGGTCCCAGGGTCGTGGGACTGAGCGCCACATCAGGCTTGGTGCTCAGTGGGGAGTCCGCATGGGATTCTCTCTCTCCCTCTCCCTTGGCCCCTCCCCCTGCTCGCTCTCTAAAATAAATCTTTTTTTTAAATCTCAAAATCTCAAAATACCACTAAAAAAAAAAAGAAGAAAAGAAACAGGTTAACCAAAGGGCTCTCTTTGGGCCTTCATCAGTGATTCTTCTTAACCTAGAGGCTAGCTCTGAGTCTAGCCAAGGAATAAAATCCTCCAAGTATCATCACCTGCCCCGTCCACTCCCCACCCATTTACTTTTTAATTTTTGGTAATGCTTTGATTTTAGTTTTAAACTTTCCAGCTGTAAAGAGTGTCTATATATAGTTCCAGGACAAAACCAAAAAGAAGTAGGGCAGGGCCACAGGCCCCAAAGGGAATCTAATCCAGGGGGACACCTTCCTTGGCAGATTGAGCAGCCCAGGAAAGCTCCCAGAGCAAGGGGTCAGGTCTTGTCGCCATCCCCAGGGATGCTGTGGAGTCTAGTGGATGCACCCTGAGGCTAAGGACGTGCGCCCTAGTACAGGTCCAAAAGGAAGGCTGAATGGGTGAGTGTTTAAGTATGAAGATCAGTGATGTTACCTCAGTGCTGTCTGGTCTGACTTGGGAAACACATCTTAAATTGTGGATAGAAAAGACTGCAAAGAGAATCCCCACCAGAATTAGCAAGGCAGCTAAGACTTGCTTCCTGCCTCTAATCAGAGAATGGGCTGGATTTAAATATAGTTAGAAATACTGGCTGATGTTCAAGTTACAAAGGCAAATAGAAACTGTGGATAAATCAAGGTGTTCGCTCCATGGTGACTTACTGAATACCAGTTTTGAGTAGAACACTGTTGGATTAATGAGGGATGGGAAGAGAAGTTGGCCTAAAAAGACATAAGAAACACCTGCTCTTAAGTTTATAACCTCCTCAAGGAGCCTGTAAAACACAGCTGAGGCTCCCACAGGCTGTTGGGAAGACTGTCACCAAGGGAGCTTTTCAAAAAATATAGATTCCCAAGACCCATCCCTGGAAGTTCTGATTCACCAGACCTAGGGTGGGGCTATGAGATCTATATTTAGGTTCCCAGGTGATTCAAGCACTGCTGATATACATGAAATAATACTTGACAGAACAGAGCAACAGATAAACGAATGTAAACCGGTCCACTGAGGCACTGTTTGGCAAAGTGTGGTCCAGTTACCTCAGGCATCAAAATTATCGGAGGAGCTTGTTCAAAAATGTTCCAGATTCTACCCCAGGATCTACTGCATTTGGATCTCCAGGCGGTAGAGTCAAAGCATATGTATTTTAAGCAATTTCCCCAGTGATTCTGATACCCAGCAGAGTTAATGAACTTCTGCCCACTCTAATGGGGCATGGACAGACTTGATAACTGAGCAGAGTCCGGCAGAATCATCCAATCAGGCAACACTGAACTCTGTACCGAACACTGTTTTGAGGCCTTTGTGGAAAAGGATGTGGACTCACAGAAAACATCCCTGCTCTCACGGAATCTCCATCCCATGGGGAAGACAAGAAACAAATCAACATATGATGCGTCAGAAGGTTGTGATGTTATGAGGAGAAATAAACGTCCCAAGTGTCTGTTTTAGATATGTTGGTTGGGGGGAAAGGATGTAGTAGGTACGAAGATGAGCTTTACCTAGAGATCTGAGTGGAGGGTGAGCCATGTGAACACAGTGCATTTCAGACAGGGAGAAGCATGAACACCTAGGCTCTGGAGATGGTGTGTGCCTGGGGGGAGAAGAAACAGGACAGCAATCCAGGGTAGGGGTTTGGAGGGCAGGTAACAGGGGTGTGTGTGTATTGGTGGTGGTGAGGGGGGCAAATCACATATGGCTTTCATAAGGATGGCACATTTTATTCTAAGGACAATGATGTGCCTCTGGAAGGTTCTAAGGGGAAAAGTCACTTGGCATTTTAAAAGGATCACTCTGGGTGCCGTAGAGGGACAGATGGACGTGGGGAGACCAGTAATGAGACTACTGCAATAGTCGACTCAGAGACGAGGAGCTGGTGATGGTAAGAAATGGTTAGATTGGAAATATAATTTGAAGGGAGGCCCAGTGGAATGTGTCAATGGATTGGATATAGTTGGTCAGAAGAAAAGTCAAGGATGACTCCAAGATTTGTGGTTTAAATAAGTGGGTGAAGGAAGTTAGCCTTTACCAACACAGGAAGTACTGGGGGAGGGACAGGCTTGGGGAAGTAGAACCAAGAAATCAACCTTAGATATGTAAACTTGAAGAGTCCTCCTGGGTATCTAAATGGAGATGTTGAGCAGGAAGTTAAGATACAGGTTCCAGGAAGAGAGAGGTCTGGGCTACAGACACAAAGCTGGGAAGTCCATGCAGATGGTACATAAAGTCATCAGTCAGGATAACTCCACTACAGGGTGAGTTTGGATGAGAAAA